TGGAAAATGTGTTCGCCCGATTTCGAAATGTGGCATTTGGGCGTGACGCTTCTGGATGATATGCATTAAATTTTTTGGAGAAGTTAAAATAAAGGAATGTTAGCGGCCTAACCGTGCTAAGCGTCCAAACCCTCCTACTCGACCCCCAATAATAACGGAAGTCTGTGGATTAGGGGAGAATTAGGGATTATTTAGGGAGATATGTGTACGATTTGGAGTTCAGACACGGTAGGGAACACGGAAACGTCCTTTGGCAGAGAATGGTTGGCCAGGACATCGTCCTTAGTTGATCCGGCAAGCGAAAATGGTGATGTCGTGTAGAGGCATCAGACAGGCGTTCCCCGGTCCAAAGGTCCGGGCACCAATTGTCCTCGGTATTTGTGGGCCCTCCAGCCGAAGCGGGTAGGTTTTACGGGTAGACCAATACGCAAGAGAAAGTATGGACAATAAAAGTTGGGATGGCACAAAGGATTAGCCACTAGGCTGATCGAGGCCGCAAACTGCCATATGTGGCAGTCTGGCAATGGCCAACAGGATCAGAGTTTGGGGGAAACAAGTGCGACGCCATGGTGCCCGTGGATAACCGGGAGCACGCTAGGGGGTCTAGCAGGACTAATCCGCCGCCGGACAAACGGCGTCTACATGCCTACAGGACGTCCAAACTAGTCGGCGGACTAAACTTCCCACCATATGAGGAGTAACTAGGTTGGCTCAAACTTCTTTCTTTTTCCTATAGGCAATACAGAGGGGCTTTTATCATAGTTCATGGTCTTCAAAGTCGCCAGAGGATTAGACTGTGCACTTTAATTGGCGGAATTTTTTGAACTAGCACAAACGGTAAACCTATGAGTCGACCGGTATAAACTGAAGACAGACGTGATGTACGGGCCAATTTCTTCTTTCACCGGGTGACTGAAGATTGGAACAAACTGCCGGATTCGTTTGTTCTGACAGAATGCGTTCAGACATTTAAATGAAGGCTTGAAAACATTTTATATGATGGCCGTATATTTAGTTGATAAGAACTGATATATTGTACCGTATCGTTGCATACACATATGTTCGTGTCTTAGTCTTTGTCAGGAACTAGACTTTTAACGGCTCTGTCCCTTTCTTGTATAAACTGAATTATACTGAACTAGTTATCTGTTTGACACCTTATTGGCTTATTTTGTAAGGTCGAGGTTGTTGATCGGCAGAACCCCAGGGGCACTTTTCCGTTCTTTCCAGGCTGTTTCTTCCTCTCGGCATTCATTGAGAGCATAATTTTTCATCTTTTGCCCGCTCTGCTAGCACCAGTCCCGCTGAACCCCTTAACCCCGCGGGGCTTCAGGTGGCGATAAGGGGCTATACAGGGGTTTAACAATAATGATAAAAATTTTATTTAATGTCAGTTTACAGGCATTCCAGGGAAGCGTTAAACACAAGTGTGTGGCTGTGGCTGGGTCCTCGGCGTCGCAGCCCCATACTGCCCCCTCATATGAAAAAATGCTCAACGAGATATCCCCTTTCCGCCTTTCCCCGCCCCAATTTTAGATAAAGAACTTGTTCTCATTATAATGTCTTGCTCAAGGCGTAGCGTAGCCCGGCACCCTCTCATGTGACCCAAACATATGCTGACATTCTAGTGTATCCGCGCACAACACTCTCCTAAACGGTATCGGACAATAAACGCAATTAAATGAGAAGAAATAGTTTATTGGTAAAAAACAAATCAGAAAAAATATCAACAAAGTGTGTACAATCGCAGAAATTATCAGTCAATGTGTAGAAATGTGTTTGTTGTCTACGGCAGGTCCCAAAAAAGCGGCGGCAAAAAATGAAATGTTAAAACAATAAATAAAAGAATGAAAAGTTGAATTAAACTGTTAAACTGGAAACGAACGCGATAAAACAGCACGCGATTTGAAATACGCAATAAATAATTGTGTTAACACTTCCGATGATGACAGAAGCTGGCTATCATTATTTTGTCGTCGCAGATGTTCTGATGTCATAAAATATAATGTCCCGGTTAAAAAAGTATAACTTCCACCGCAGTATAAATTTAAAAGGCAGTCAAAGAAGATAAAAGGATCATATCGTTTAAAAAATGGTCACTTCATTGTTAATCGTATGGTTACCAGCGGGATAAGACATAAAACACTTAACATGTGAGGAAAATTACACTACTTTAACAACTGCGAGTAATGCCACTACCAAATGCAATGGCGTTTACTTCTATCCTTTAAGCCCTTCTTGTGGAATTTAATATATGCTTCTAAGCTTATATTGCATTAGTTATGGACACGATGTTAGTGGTAACATTAACGTACAGTTTAAAAATTGGACTTTGGATGTCCTCGGACGGAGATAATACTGGAATGGTTTCGACTTCGGCAGTTCCTGTGGACACCTATATGTATTGTTGAGAGTAAAGGAAATATGATTGGCGGACTTTTCCGATGCTGTTCCGGCGTCTTCATCTGCCGCCGTACCGGTCACTTGACCCATGAAAACAATCGATTGCACTTCTTCGAACTTGCTCCTCAGAGCAGTTACAAAATAAATTATTTTGCAGAATGGCCTATGCAGTGTTATAAAGAAATAGACTTATGACTAAGAATGAGGTACAACGGATAACCGAAAAACGAGCGTTTTTCTGTAGAACAACCCTAGCAGAAGTTGAAGCACAAGGGCGGACCTAACGGAGCATACAGAACAAACCGTACAAACTCCTTATCAGTGTGGTCCACCAAAATAGAAAACTATCGGCGAACCAAGAGATCGCGACGGCGGAGACTGCATTACTATTCATAAACTCAACGACTGAGTAAATCTGCGGGCTAGTTTGCCATCGCAGTCGAGCACTCGGCAGAACGCGTAGATAGAAAAGCTTTGTTAACATGAAGGTGTACATGAACAATGCGTTAAAAGAGGAGGAGGTACCAAATCACTCGGAAAAGTCATTTTTCATCAAAGGTGTGCAACAGGGGAACAAGGGAAAATTCATCGTCCATTTTAAAGGGAACGTATTAACATACAATGTCCAAAAGGGCAGCAGTGATGGAAGAGTCCGCCAAAACGAAGGCTTTAAACATATAAAAAGTGCAAGAAAACATGGAATTTGTAAACAAGTCTCAGCAATCTATCAAGGAGGGTACTGTAACTCGGTTGTCGACAGAGATGTCAGTTTGCA